GTAATCTTAGAATTTCCAAACAATTAAAAGCTGCAATGTTAACTTTCAGGGGTATTTGAAAAGTCTGAGATACAAGGAGCCTTGCTTGTAAGGTGGTGAAGGTCTACCTCAAAAGGGAATTCTGCTTGAGGAAGGAAGAGGAAATTATAAGGTCTTGAACAGCACATGGAAAATCTAGAACAAGGAAGAAGGCACAGGAGGGAAGTCATAAAGCAGAAACAGGAAGTGAGATGGCTGCCATGCCTAGCCTGGGGGAAAGTGCACCAGGTAGCACTGCAGAGGCCTTCCTGCTTGAAATTAAGTGCCTGCTTTTATGCAGAACTTTCTAATTCTCACTAATCTGATACAAGGCAGGAAAAACTGATCTCTAAAGCTAATCTAGATCCAAAATACAATGCTCTATGAAAAAGTCTGTATTTTCTTTCTTGTAATGCATTCTAGATAAAGCTACTGCAATGATCTGCCCAGACAAAAATCAGATTTGGTCCATCAGATTTTAGCCCATTTTGACAGATTCAACAGAAATTACATCATGCAGATAATTTAGCATCTGCTTAGATGTCTACATTTCTTCACGCTGAGCAGATCCCTTCAGGATACTTTGAATAAGCTTTTTATACTATCAACATCCAGTGAATTTAGCTCTTTCACAAACCAAGTACTAAAATATAGCACAGCTCAAGGGAACCAGATCTAGAGAAGGGTTGTCTAGCACAAAACACACCAAAGCAATAGGGAAAACGATGTACTTCAAGTGATGCCTTTCACTTCTGCCAAGATATCTTCTGGAAATGCCCTGTGCTGTATATGTCAATCTCTCCACCTACTATCTAACTTTCTCACCAATGCTCAGAGCTGTTTTTGTCCACTAATACAGCATCTGCAACACAGTTAGCTGCAGTCTTGCAAAAACTGCGGCATGTGTATAAAGCTAGGCACAGCCCCAGAGCCCTTAGTAGGACCTTTTGCTGCATACATTCATAGGTCTTAACAGGACGGTGGCCAAAGATTATAGAGGCATCCAAGCTGGTTCATATAGTTAAGCCTGTTCTGTGGCACATCTATTTTAAACTTGGGTCTTCTGCTTTGTATCTTAAAAGGGCTACATGTCTTAACTGATCTTCAGAACAAATTAATTTCACAAAGCAAAAACAGTTTAGCCTTGATAAATGAATATACAAACACAAAAGAACCACTCTCCTTCGTTCATGTGCATCCAGAGGCACAACATAAAAGGCAAGGAATTGACTTGCCAGGCCTTAACCAAGCGAGTAGATTTACCAGTGAAATATAATGCATTACCTATGAGGGTAGTCACTAGGAAGGCAGCACACGGGCAAGATCATAACTTTATTAACTGAGTAGCATATAATAATCTTAACCATAATTATTCAATTATTTAATTAGACAGAAAATTATATTAATGAATAATTCTATTCTTATTGCAATGGTATTTTTCTCATTATTCTTTAAGATATAACACTTGTTAAAGAACGTTCTAGGTAAAACAAATGGGGCTACATATCACAGACAACCATATCACTAAGCAGATTTTTTTTTTCCATTCTACCATTACTTTTTATTTTAGGACACACTACATTAATGAAGAACAATACTAGGAAAACTAGAGGGGCAGTACTCAACTGCTCTAATAAACATGTTTATAACCAGAAATATTTAAGCTACTTTCACAACATCTGTAAAAATAAAATTTGCAATACAATAGGAATAAACAAGTTTATTTGGAAAATTTTAGCCTGAAGCAAATTTAGTTGAAGACATAGAACAGAAGGTTGATGTTCAGGTTGCTAAAGTTGCCAGAGCTCCAGCAATCAACATCCAGAGATGTTGAGAGTTTACATTAGCTGGCTATATGCTCCTTGAAATGCATAATTAACTCACTAGGTTTTAAATATAGACTTTACGACTTAAAGGTCTTCAGAAATAAGCATAATTTTTGAAATTTAGGAAGAATCTAGACGAATCCATATAAATACTTGAAAGAAAGACAAAGGAGGAAAGTGGAAGACAGAGGAATCAGATTAGAAGAGGCATCCAAAAGGATGGGCCAATTTACAAAAAATAATAATAATAATAATTGTTTAACTACTGAATCAAGGCTTTCATTAAGCTCTGTGCAGAATGGCCACCTCCCAAGAAAAGCCACAGAAAGGAAATATCATTAGAAAGCTTATGACTTTGTGAGCCCACCCTTACATTCAAGGCAGCAAACTGTTGCTCTGTATTGTTGAGCAGGATGTAAAGAGTCTGACAAGCACAGCCCACAGACACGCTAATTAAGTGAACTGATTGTGTTTATTTTGGAACCTTTGCCAACAAAGGAATGTGTCATGCTGATTAGTGAGAGAAGGGTATGTAATATATGTGTATTCAAACCCTGAGGAGCGCATAACCCAGGTATTCACTCTGTTTGCTCAGGGACTGACAAAAATTACTTTTAAGCAAATAACCTGACCAACGAGAAACTCCAGCCCTCAAGAGGGGCCCCGCTTTTCTCTGAGATATACATATCTAAAGAAGACCCATCTTTCATAAATTCCTACTGAAGACTATTCTAGAAACTGCGGGAAATGTTTTGGAGAGAAATGAACTCTCAAAGGTGACTTAAGACACCACAAAGATGGAAAGGTAACAGTCATCTGAAAACCACCCCAGTATGGTGCTAGTCTCTCTGACAGCTGCCACTCTTTTCTCTAAAGTGCAAAGAAATTAAGGGAGGTAGCCAGGAAAACAAATGTCAGCTCAACACAGACACGCACACAAACTGACCTCCCTTTTCAAACTTGCAACACAGAGGTGAAGTTAAGAAAAGCTTCCAAATACTTCCAAACCAAGAGCCCAGCTTGCTGGTAGAATTAACAGAATGTTCAGAAGTGAGTGACTAAATCATAAAAACATGGAAAGAGTCTTTAGAGCTCTGCTACTCTTCCTTCTTTAACTCAGCAGCTACAACTAGGGTAATTCCAAGTCCAGGCAGTCCTGAGTGAAAAATGTGAGTACTATGCTGCAGACAGCAATTCCAGGAAACCGAGACCTTTTCCTATGTCTAACCAGCCTTCCTATGTTATACCTGAGCACTGACTACAAAAACTCTCTGATCTGTGTTACAAATGTGAAAGCTCTTCCTGGGCCTTTCCTTCAGTGCTTTGCAATGAACATTAACGTGCACAAGCTTCTCTGTCATTATGATTTGTCTCTAGCCTAAAGGCAGAAAACAGTGAAAATATGGGACTGTCATAATCTGGTTAGCTTCACAGATGTGCATGTGCCCACATGAGTAGTGATACAATGAGAAAACTAACAAAGGGAAACAGAAAATGCTAAGGACAAAAGGTTTAGTGACAAGGAGTACAAAAGAAGCAAGTAAAATGACTTCTGACAAAACAAGAAAGAGAAATATGGAAGAACCATTCATGCCGACTGTTTCAATTAAAATCACTAAAGAAGATGTTGTCTTTGGCATGACATCAACTACATTTGTGAAACATGAATAAATGTCCTTTCTGGTTTCTAATTCACATAAAAACAGGAGCTAGAGCAACTTCTTTTGGCTTTCACTGGACTACTGGCAAAAACTATTTTGATACCAGGTTTTAAATTTTGCTATTGCAAGGTAAAACTGATCTCAGCTGAAGGGTATGGAAACAGTATACATCCAACAGTGTTTTTGTGACCAAAAATCCCCAGGCAAATCACACAGAAACTTCAGGGAAACTTGTCTTCTCAAATGCTCTTACATTTTCTCATCAATCTTCAATTGCCTTTTATACAGTCTTAATAAGCCTCTGATGCTTTATATATCCTAGTCTCTTTTTAACTCAGCCTATCTCACTAAGCACCCTCACATACCTTCTTTACAGAAAACTGTTTATAGAACTCAGCTGCACACCTTGTTTAGCTTATGCTCCCTGCTTTGTCAATGCATTTCGAAGAATGAGAATCTGAAGAAGAATGTGCAAACAGTCATTGAAAGTCAGGTTAGGCTGAAAACCCCCAAAGAGGAGTCCTTGGCTACTTGTAATTTAACATCTTTGTACGCACAGAGGAATCAGATTCCTAAGGAAACCCTTTTAATAAGCTGCATCTGATTGTTTCCAAAGGTGGCCCTTCTATTTTTTATTTTTTTTTTCCTTTTCAGTGGAACACTTTGGAGAACAAATTAAAATGACTATTTTTGAAACAACCAAAAAGTATTTATCTGTGGAGGAATGTGATGCTGTCAGATACAGTCTTTCTGCTGAGTTAAAAAAAAGTAACCCCCCTTTACTTAAAATCCAAGATATGTTTGAAAAAGAATAGTAATACTGCTGCACTGCTGAGTATACTCTGATTTCCTGCATTTTGCTTTTAAATCTTCCATGCAACTCCTGTCCCTGATCTGGCATCCAGTACTCCATTTAAGATGAAATAAATGTTCGTGGATTTAACTTACGGCTGGGCATATATTATGTAACTACCTGAGAAGAACTGTCATTAAAGGAAGGGAAAAACAAAAATGAAAAAACAACAACAAAAAACTTGCATACATACAAAGAGGAGAATGCACAGTGAAAATGAAGAATTACCCATAAAACTTCACAGAGAAAACATTCCAGAATAGATGGTTATTGCTTTACAACATACAGTCCCAGGACATCATGGACCCAGTGACATCAGGTACTGGAAAGATGCCTGTGATCACACCAGAGAATCCATTTAGTGTTTTAAGACAATTTGCAAACTCAGAAAACTTCAAATAAATCACATAATGTGGGGAATCTTCCCATTTCAAGCAGCTGTTCTGAAACTTACAGTGCTTTGGGAAGTAGTTCTTCCCATCTACTTCTAGCCTATGACCTCTCTGGGCCAGGAATCTTGTGCAGCTGCATGGGAATGTGAATTAGTCAAATGCAGACCCCAGTTATTTAAAGAAGACGTCATAAGGCTGAGAATCCACAAGGATATGTTAGGTGAATCAAACGTTAATTTAACTGCAGTACCTGCTTGTAGAAATATCTTCAAAGGGGTAAAGGATTTCTCCATTGTTACAAATCTCACAGATGAATCCCTTTTGACTACAGAGACTGCAGCTATACACATGAGAAGTGGCAAACTTGATCACCTTCCCCAAGAAAGGAGCCAGCTTTCCTTCAATAACCTGAAATAAGATGACATTGTATGAATACATAAAAATGACCAGAACGTCCTGAAAGATTGAAAAAACATTAATACAGAAACACAGCTATGTACAGCTTGATAAAGTAACAATAAAATATTTTCCCAACTGTTATGTGTGTATATATATATATATATATATATATATATATATATATATGAAATCACAAGTGACAGCAGCAGCCATTGAACTGGCAATGATTCAAATGTAAAAGAGAGGAAAAGGTACCATCTTTTTAAGTCCCTATAAGGCAGTGACACACAAGACTAGCAACCATTTGAAGTGCAACAATACATTCACATGCTGCAGCACAGAAGAGTATGTAGGAATAGAACTGAAGGTTCCACATTATCATCTAACCAACAGCTATGGACACTGACTTACACATATGATTTTCAATTCCTGTTAATTTTTATGCACAAATCACACTTTTGTCTCTGCTCCTTTACCTCCAATGTACAGTCTTTTCTTTGCATATTTTTCATGCACAGAATCCTGGCTTACCTGCTTTAGTAAGGTTGTATTTTCCATTGAAAGTCATTAAAATACATTATTTCCCTCACTGTCAATGTGAATACGTTCTCAGATAAACTCTGGAATAGGAGGAAGTTTTTTTTTTTTCCTCTCCAGTGTCCTGCTTTCAAAATCAAGAAGTCTCTCACTGCCAGACAACCCTGTTAGGCCATTAGAAGTGATTAGCACTGCCTGTGTTTGTGTGAAAAAAAAAAACCAAAAAAAAAAAACCCTGCCATGTAGTATAGATTAAACTACTAGCCACAACATTCATCTAAATTTGTGATTCAGTGACAATGTCTCTATAAGGGGTACTATTCAGGCAAAATACTTTTCATTCAGATTGAGTCTCTAGAGACTTTAAAGAATTCTGCCGGTGTCTGAAATAATGAAGATGGAATAAGGCCCTGAGTGTATATTCTTTATTCCTGGACTTCCTGTGGTCTGAATGGCAGCCTGCCAGGTTAGTGATAGAAATGTGTCATGAGATTTGATAGTGACCTCCTGTAAAAAAATAAAAAAGAATGCACTAATTGCTGTTTGAAGCTTTATACAGTGCTGTGCCCTGGAGACTAAGAGTAGGGAGATTTACACTTAAATGTGTCATATTCAGTTCAGGTGCCTTTTCCTTCAGTACGTAACATACGACTTGTAAACGGGTTTAGCATAAACTGGTCTTGAGAAAAGAAAGGTCAAGGCAGAGAAGAACAGCAGAGGTTTCAGAAGCATTCCTCCCCTACCTTAAGCAGCAAGGAAATAAATTTGTGCTCTAGGGCAGTATCCTGTCCACTAGTTAAGACATCAACTGTTAAGGAGTGCAAAAAAGGTGCATAGGCAGCACTGACGCTGATGGCACTGAATGGCACTGGCTGAAATGTGCGTCCTTTGCTTTCAGCTCAAGCCTGTTAACAGTATCTGCAACAACAGGAAGCGGCAGTGTTATTGCTAGTACTGCAGATAGGACATCTGCTCATGCTAGAGGAAAAATGACGTTCCTATTACATCCTGGTGTAGGAAGATCCCCTTCAAGTAGAATATAAACAATGCTGCAAATGGAGCCATAGTTCAAGGTAGTGATATTTCTAACCTTATAACAGATGGGCAGATGCTATTTTAGCTCCCTCAGGATGGGTTTTGTTTTTCATTTTGAAGAAATATTTTTTTCTGCTTGTAGCATGGAGAGCTACAGAGGGTCAGAAAATCAAACAAGTGGGGAGTAGGGGAAAGACACAAAATTGATAGCATTCTGGAAATAGGAGGAAAGAAACAGTGAAGTTACCCAGCTGGTGACAATGCTACAGTGTCCCATTTAGTAGCAACAGATGAAATATGCATACAATGATAATAAGTAAACCACAATTCATACATATTTTCCAAAGCACTTTCACACTATAGCAATCACTTCTGACAGGCTATAAGAGCTCAGTTAAATGCAAGGCTGAAAACAGAACCGCAAGTAAATTCTATAAACCTGTACTAATGTCACTGTCAGCAAGGACTTCAGTGTTAAATCTCTGGATTAAGTTCACATTTTACATAACTTAATGTACAAATTAACATAATCTATTACTATCTTAAGCACCAAGGGCAAATTTAAGTCTGTACAAAGCACGAAGATTTCCTGTGCTGAAGAGCTCACATTCTAACCAAGATGGATTGATAGCCCCCAAGGAGATGGTGTTATTCATCCTTATTTATTTATTTGTATGGCCTGCCATAGCAATGTAGTGGGTTGGTTTGTAACTCTGGCCACTGCAGACACACAATGAAGATCCTGTCTTCAAAGAACTCTGCATGTCAATTTTACAATGTGAATTACAGGCAATTTTACTGTATTATAGGAGGAAGACAAAATGCAACATCAAACTGATATTACCACTATTTTTAGCATCTGCAAATTTCATGTCATTTTACTTCATCAGAGACTTCAAGGCTGTGTACAGGAAACAACTTTCTCATTCGTGTTTTTACCTAATAAAATCCTTGTCTCTATTTTCCTCAGCAAGCAAAAGGGGATATTTCTATTTCTTGTCCCCAGGAGAAGTTTCATAGTACCACTTCCACTGTTTTTATAGCTTTTGGAAAGGGAGCGCTGTCAAACCTTCTCCTATGACTAAGCACCCTCATGACAGTCAGATGCCCAAGACTGGTCAGTTTAGACATGCCAGAACCATAATGATAGAGTACAAGGATATTCTCCAAATTGATGCTGGAATCAGGTCTTAAGTCTCAAGGAAATACACGTGATTAAAGAATGTGTGTTAAAAAAAAAAATGTAATGCACCAGCTAAATATAAAGAAAATCACATGGAAAAAAATCCTCAAGAGGCCATCCTGGTGGATCCAGCAACATCTGTGTCATTCTTTATCGCTACAACTGTTACTAAAGGCTTTCAAGGACAGAGACTCTACAGTTCGCTTGCAGTCTAACCCAGCACGTGTCTGTTCTCCCCACTGGAGCCAGTCCTAAGCTTTAACATGAACATTTCAGTTTTCAGAAGAAGCTGAAATTTTTAACCTGCTTGCTCCATAAGCAGATCGGATATGGAGCATAGAGAAAACCCTTCTAACTTCAAGACAGTAGGCAATGCTTTGAATGCCAAGTGTCAAACAAATCTCAAATCAGACCTGTGGCCCTGAAGGAAGAGGATGACATGCAGCTGTCCAGCTCTCATGCACATTCAAAATAACTTGGGTCACTGTAGTAAAAACACAAGTGCAATTCAGCTCTCAGGTGGAGGCTGAGACCTGATAACTCTATTACAAGTCACTGGCAGGCCCATATGGCAAGCTCAACAGTGGGAAAGTCTCTTATGCAGTATGCAGTGGCTCTGGGAAGCTCATCCATTAGCCTAGCTGCAATGGTTGTTATTGCAAACCATGAGAAAATTATATGTTTTGGTTATGAAAGTGTGTAGGGTAAGAGAAAGTCATTCAATTTGGTCTCTAAAAACTGCAGCTATTATTCATACATGAAGCACTGATATTGCAGTGTCATGTTCACAACCTGCAGCTAATATGTCTATTGGAACTAGAAAGTAGCATATATGATCCATTCTTTCAGCTTTCTTTGGTAACATTTGCACCCCACTCCATGAAAAAAAAAGTACATCAAAAGAAATAGTATAGGAGGATGTTTACTCCACAAGACCACACTTAACCCAACTAAATAATCAAAATTTCACATTGCTAGGAAGTGCCTGTGCACCTGGAAGACAGCTGTGTTGGATCTCACCAAAGCAGAGCAGCAGAAATGAGCTAGTACTTGTGTTCCGCGTCCTACTTATCCCTACCACAACACGTTGCCATTCATACAATTCCACCACAATACTCCACCTCTTTACCACCTCTCCTGTTTATCAGATATACTCAGAAAGAATTTAGGTCTCCAAAATTACCTAACTTCATTTAATGTAATGAGAATTACGAGTCCAAATCCTCTCAGTATCTGAGCCAGAAGGAAATGGCTGGCCCCACAAATGATATTCCCCAAAACTGCATGCAATCCTGTGAAGTTCCTAGGTTTTTTCACAACCTAGAGAGCATTAAGAGAAACTGTGAAACCACACATACCACGCACTGTAGAACAGTCTGTTATATCTCAAAAAATGCAGAAATTTAGTGCAAAACTTACTCAGTTAATAGTAGGCTATAGGAACGGAAACTAAAAATTTCACTGACATAACCCTATATCTTCATGCAGTCCCAAAATGTGCTTGCAAAGGCTTCAAAATGCTTTCCTGTCCCTAGCATCATGCTTAAACCAAACTGAAATGTTGCTGAGTTCAGATTCTCTTCTGCATACAATGATGCAGTACACACGAAGAACAAGCTCTGTTTTCTAATCCAAATTATTTCTAGAACACGCAGTAGTATAATTACCCTAAATTGAGCATGAAAGATGATCATCCATCAATAAAGGATGCAACGTAGCTTTTTCTCCCTAAACTGGTCAAGGAACCCATCCCAAAAGGATTCTGAACATAGAGCCATGCTTCTACAGTTAGCTTACCACTGCTGTAACACACTTTGGCACAGGCCCAAAATTTTCTCTCTGAAAAGCCCCAGTATTCAAATTAGAACTGCTATCTACCTCTGAGAATCTGGAAAACATTTTTCTGAGCTATCGCTGTAACTTTGCACATTACAGATACAGACTGCATGTCTCACATGTTAGGAATTGTATGAAAATACACACCCACACATACATACATAAAAGATGGGCCCTGCCCTCAAAGCACTTACAATTTGATGCAGCAAATGGGCATTGCTTTTTTACACCAGCTAACGACATATTTCATCTCCCATCCTAAACAGAACAAACTCCATATTTTGAAGGAGGCATCCCACCAGAGAGAGCATACCTGCAGGTGACAGGACTGCTACAGAGGGGAGAGGAAAAGCCAGGAGGGCCCACAGGAAGAGCAACTCACTCTGCTGCCCAGCGTCTGGCACGCAGGTCAGGAAAG